ACTCGATGGCACTTAACAACAAGAAGAAGTAGTGTAGTGGTTATGAGTCAGGCTGCTAACCTGAAGATCAGCAGTTCGAAATTACCAGCTGTTCTGCGGTATTTCTTCCTCCCATAAAGATTTACAGCCTTGAAAACCCTGCGTAGGGTCGCTATATAAGTTGGAACTGACTCCACGACACACCAACACCATATTAGCAATGTATGAAGGTTTCTCACTGTCTTTGGCTCATGTGGTGGTGGTGGTGATGTGCCGTGGAGCAACCAGAAAATTGATAACTGTTCTGCTGAACTCCCCCACTACACCCATGCACTAACCCCTGAATCCAAGATCAAGATGGAAAACAGCTGTGAAAAGGAATCTGAAGTTTTCTGGAACCTAGACCTGGTTTAACCCACTATTGGGTCAATTCATAACTCAGAGCAACCCCACAGGACAAAGTACAATGAATTGCCTTTAGGGTGTCTGAGACTGTAAATCTTTACAGAAGCACACAGCCTCATCTGTTTCCCTCAGAGCATCTGGTGTGTTTGAACCACCAACCTTGTGATTTTAGCAGGCCAACACTTAACCCACTGTGCCACCAGGGCCCCTTGAACCTAGTTTAGAGAAGCCATATCATGACACAAGGCTATGGAAGGACTAAGAGGAAGTATCTAAAATCTGATTTAACCCCAGGAGTTGCCTAGATCCTATCTCACTGAGAGCTGCAGTCATTCTAATCATCCTGGAGACTCCCTTCCCTCCCACCTCACCCCTAGGCCCAGCTGCTAGGTAGGAAGATAAAAGCTGCCAGGAGTCCTGGTGTGGTGCTGTGGGTTAATGAGCTGGACTTCAAGGTCTGTTTGAACCTCAGTGTGGGCAGTTCAAGCTTACCAGCTGCTTCTCTGAAACCCTATACAGGGTTGTTATGGGTTGGGACTGACTCCACAGTACTTAACAACAACAGTTGATGTAGCTATCTCCAAGGAGGGACTGGTGTCCCCTGCAGCATGAGGAAGACAGCATCTGATAGATTAACAGGGCCTCTTATTTTTTCTAGCCCCATGTTTCTTAACAGTAAACCACCAATGATAACCCCACAACTGAGGATTTTTGTGAGGCAATGCATAAGTTGTTGTAAAAATCCCTAGTACCATGCTGGCTCATAGTAAGTGCTCAGTAAACCTTAGTTCTCTGTGCCCTGTTCCTCCTCCACCCCCTACCCCACCCCCCAAATTGTAAGGAAGGGAAGGTTTGGTTTTTGTCTGTCAGTTTATCTGATTCTGGCAGCCTGATACACACTCTAACCTCATCATCTTTTCTTTATCGCCTTATGTAGATCTTTCTTTAAAAATATATATATATATATATTGTTATTGTTGTAAAAATGCAGCTAGTCCCCAGCACCATCTTGTCTATATCATGTTATATAAACTTTTCTTTTTAAAAAACGATTATTATTATAAAAATACAGATAGCACTACATTTGCCAATTCAACATTTTTCTTGTGTGTAGTTCAATGACACCACATACATTCAATCATGTTGTGCAATCATCACCAACATCCTTTGCCAAATTTCCCATCACCGTAAATAGAAACTCAATGCCTCATAAACAGTGACCCCCTCCCTCCACTGCTGGCATTACCTTCTGATTACATTCTTATCTCTATCCATTTGCCTATCCTAGATATTTCATATACAGGCATGTCTCAGTGATGAGTATGGAAATAAAATGAGTCCTAGAAATATTTGGGATCCCCACCAAAAACCAAACCCACTGCCATTAAGGCCCTTGTAACTCGTAGTAACTTTGCATAGAGTTCACAAGGCTATAAATCTTCACAGGAACAGAAAGGCTCATCTTTCTCCCATGAAATGGCTAGTGGGTTTGAACTTCCAACCTTTCAG